TTTTGGGTTCCTAACTACTGGGTACTGACGAGGGGAGTGGAAGAAATAGAATTGACCACCAAGTTCTCATTCTTACCATCAATTGGAGGAGACGCTTTAGTTTTGGGTCTTGGTAAGTTTATTTATTTCATGGGTTGATCATTTTGTTTGATTCTAACTTTTTGTCTTGATTTGATATAGGTTTTTGTAGACATAGAGGATGACGAGTGCTAGCATTGCGATTCCAGCTAAATCAGTGGCAGCGACGAGAGAGTCGAAGGAACCGGGGAGAGATTCTTGAGCGCCTTCCCGCAAAGATCCACACTCCTATCTTCTCTTCCTCTTTGCAACGGGAAAATTGGATTATTAATTTTTCAAATTTAATTAATCTTTATTAAATGATTAATATGATAAATCATATAGATAAAGTTAGTGAGATGATGAGGTGGAAAGTTAATTTTTTTTTAATTTCTACGTCAATTAGTTAACGGTCAAACTTTATAGTTGACTGCCATGTAGGAAAAATTTAACTGCGTGTAATAGCTAGTGACCAAAGGTGAAACAATTCCTAAAGTTAGTGGCGAATAAGAAAGAAAAGTAATTCGGGTGGTAAACGTGAAAGATTTGTATGATTTGAGTGACCAAACATAAGATTGTCCAACTACAAGGGGTAGTGTTTGAGCCACAATACTCCGAATTTGCCAAATGAAACGTAGGTAAACTCTTCTCCCCTTAGTAAGCGCCCAGACCCTGCAAGACAAGCGCCTAGAGGGCTTGGTCTGTCCGTTAGCACTCTGACGATCAAGTTAGCCGCAATTCTAGAGAGAAAAGTGCAATGGGCGACTTTAGTGAGAGAAACCGACATGCTTAAATGCCACCTACCGAGTGCTATTTATTCTAGTCGAGCTTCCGACCAATTCCTGCCGAGCAACCTTACGTCAGTCGGGCATTAAATGCCTAGTCTGGTCAAACATCCAAGCGCCTACACGTGGTGCATTCTCTAGTCCTCGCGTTGGTGCCCACTTTGAAGGTGGTTCTATGCACCCATAACACGCTTGGCAGCTCTTCTACCCAGTTTCCTTTGGCTGCATCCAGCATTGTGTGTAACCCATGCAAGATGCTTTTGTTGGCTGCCTCGGCTTGCCCGTTTGCTTGCGGATAGGCTACAGAAGAGAACCTCATGACCACCCAATTTTCGTCACAAAACTCAATGAATTTTTTGCAATCAAACTGCTTCCCATGATCAGTGATGATAGACTCTGGGAGCCCGAACCTTGTGAAGATGTTCTTTCTTGTGAACTTTCGCACTTGCACTTTGGTAATGGACGCAAGCGGCTCCGCCTCAATCCACTTAGTGAAATAATCAATGGCGACAATCAAGTACTTGAGCTGTCCATGCGCCTTGGGAAAGGGTCCTAGAAGGTCCATACCCCACTGAGCGAAAGGCCAGGCGCCTACATTCCTTGCATGGGCACCGCTGGTATATGTATGTCATTAGCATGGATTTGGCATTGGTGGCACGTGGCCATAGGTTTTCCAGCGTCAGCTCTCATTGTTGGCCAATAATATCCTTGTCTGAGCAAAACCTTCTCCAGGCTACGGGCGCCTGCGTGCATTCCACATGTTCCTTGATGCACCTTAGTGATGGCCCTTTGCCCTTAAGCTTCCGTGAGGCAGCGTAGATAGGCGCCCGAGTGTGACCTCTTGTACAACACTCCCTCCACAATAGCACATCGGGCTGCCTTCCTTCCTAAACGCCAAGCCTCTTTCAGATCTTCCGGCACCACGCCCTGCGCTAGGAAAAGCAAAATAAGTGACATCCATCCTTCCATCGTTCTAACGGAGAGAGATGCCATCACCCTCTCCTCGCGCGGGGCCTCTCTAGTGACGATCACTGTTCTGTCCTCTCCAAAATCCAATGTCGTGGCAAACTTAGACAGGGCATCCGCGTGAGCGTTCTCCTCTCTTGGGACATGTGTGAGCATAGCCTCACGAAACCAAGAGCACTTTTCTCTGACCGAGTGAACAAATGCTCCAAGCGCCTCCTCCTTCACCTCATATACACTATTCAACTGATTGACTATGAGCGCCGAATCAGTTTGAATGTTGACCTTTTGGGCTCCTAACTCCCTTGCCGTGTGGAGTCCTACAAGGACTGCCTCGTATTCTGCAGCATTGTTTGTTTTGAGAGTTGCAAAGCGCAAGACGACCTAATGCATGCCGCCCAATGGGCTAATGAGAACAATTCCGGCCCCCGCGCCTGCTCAGCTTTCTGCTCCATCCACTTGGACTTGCCAACATTCTTCCGTGCCACTTCCCAAGTCGACAACTCCCTTGGCCAAAAAATCGGCCAACACTTGAGCTTTTATGGCCGGCCTGGGCGCATAGCTCACATTGAACTCACTAAGCTTAACAGCCCACTTAACCAGGCGCCCAGGCACATCCATGGAACCAAGGACCGCTCGTAGAGGAAGGTTCGTGAGTACAACGATTCTATGAGCTTGGAAATATGGCCAGAGTTTGTTCACTATCATGACCACCGCCTTTTCTATGGGCGCATATCACGTTTCATGCCCCACCATGGTACGAATAACGTAATACACCGGTATTTCTTCATTCGTCAACGGGTCTCTGGATATTAACACCGCGCTCACAGCAATCTGAGACACCGCAATGTACAAGTATAGCGTTTCCTTAGCCTTGGAAGTGGTCATCACCTTGGGCGTCGTCAGCAATGTTTTCAAGTCCTCGAAGGCTTCGTCACATTTCTCTGTCCACCTAAATCTGCTAGCCTTCTTTAAGACCTTAAAAAGGGGGCGCCTCCATCGGATGGTCTTGGAATGAGCTTCCTCTTTTCGTGATCATGAATCCCAAGAACTTACCAGACTCTGCTAGGAACACAAATTTCTTTGGGTTAAGCCTCAACCTAAACAAGCGCATAGTCTCGAAGGTCTCCTGCAAATCTATGATGTGGTCTTGGCGCCTCCTGCTCTTCACAATCAAGTCGTCAATATATGCTCCCACATTCCTCACCAACTGCTTGCGGAAGATTTGATTTACCATGCGCTGGTAGGAGGGTCCTGCGTTTTTTTAACCCGAATGCCATCACTTTGTAGTAGAAGTTGCCAAAGGGCGTCATGAAAGCGGTCTTTGCTCTGTCTTCTTCCACCATGGGGATCTGATGATATCCTGAAAACATATCAAGGAAGCTAAGCGCCTCATGGTAAGTCGTCGCTTCCACAAGCAGATCAATGCGCGGCATTGTGTAGGCGTCGGCATGGGGATCTGATGATATCCTGAAAGCAGATCAATGCGTCGGCATTGTGTAGGCGTCGCTCGCTTCCACAAGCAGATCAATGCCCGATTAAGTTTGGTTAAATCCACGCACATTCTCCAATCCCCCTACGGCTTTGGGACGAACACAACATTGGACAGCCATGTGATGTACCTTGCCTCCTCTACAAACCCTGCCTCGAGCAACTTATCAACCTCCTGTCGGAGGGCTTTTTCTTTCTCAGGAGTCAAATTTTGTCGCTTCTGCAGGACGAGCTTCTTGCCCTCTTCAACGGCCAACCGATGCGCCGCTACGTCCGAGGACACCCCCGGCATGTCTTGTGCGCTCCATGCAAAAATCTCCTCAAACTCCCTTAACAAACTTATCAAGGGCGCCCTCATATGCTCAGGGGCTTATGCCGAAACTAGCACCTGTCGGTCTGGGCGCCCCTCTTCGATTGGCACGCTTAGTTCATCGTCAACCGGCTCCGCTCTGGGCGCCTCCTCTGGGCGAATGTCTATGTTGTTTACCCTATGCCTTCTGGCGCTTCTCCTCAGCTCTTCCTCCCGCGCGTAGCGGGGGGGCATTCTCTCCTCGTGAGATGCCTATCCCTTGTGGTGTAACAAATTTCAGCGTTTGGTGACAAGTGGAGGCCTCATCGGGCTCCTGGTTGAAGCATATTTTTACCGCTGCTTTCGCTTCCATGGACGTAGCCTTGAGGCGCCTGGACCGATCTAATTTATCTCGTAGATCAACGGTGCCGGTTATGGACTCCACCGTGAGCCTAACCCGATTGGGCTCTCCTTCTTGGTTCACCTCGAAGGGGCGAGGGTATCTCGAACTAGGGTGGGACAGGCGCCTGCTGCATGGTAGGGAGGACTGGTGCTTACGGCACAGCTAGTACAACAGGCGCCGGCTTCGTTTCCCTTGTAACATATGTGCGGTGGGTCCTTTCTTCCGTTTTCCTCACAAAGTCATTAAGCATTCCCCGGTCAGCTAAAGTCTGCAGCTTCGACTTTAGTTGGTAGCAATCGGCTGTGTGGTGCCCTTTGTCCTGGTGGAAATCACAATATCTGTCAAGGTTCTGCTCATTTGGTTGCCCACGCATCGGTCTCGGCCAACGAATGTGGTACCCCCTATCCTTCACATACTGTAGAATGTTCTCTAAGGTATCGTTGTATTCTGTGAAATTTCCCGCGCTCTTGGGCGGTGGGCGCTGACCCTCGGGTCTCCTTTGTGGAATGCTGCTCGCAATGAAAGGTCGTGGCACCGGGCGCCCCTTAATATCCTCTCCCCTCACGCACCTCTTCTTTGCCCTTCTTGCGGCTAACGTTTCCTCCAAGGTGATAACCTTCTGAAATCTTCGATCCAAGTCTTCAGTAGACACGACGGCCCTCTTTGAAAGCACACGGCACAGTTCCTCACTACTTGTGCATTCCTCGAGGCAGACTCCCAGAACCAGGGGCTGCACATCCTTGACTGCCATGGCGACTGAGATCCACCGATCATAGAACTCTCTAAGCGCTTCTCCATCCCTCAGTTTTATTTTGAACAAGGCGCTTATAGTTAGAGTTCGCCGCTTTCGTCTTGCAAACTTGAACAAGAACAACTCAGCAAACTGCTCGAAGCACTCAATGCGCCCCTCTTCCAACTGATGATACCAATCTAGAACCACTCCCGCTAACGTTGAGGGGAACACCTTGCAAAATGTGGCAAATGAGCTATTGTACAACTGCATCTTCGTGAATTAGCTGTTCAGATGATCTTCCGGGTCGGTGACCTCGTCGTAGCTTGACAATGGTGGGAGGGTAGTCCCGGATGGCTCCATTAGAACACTTTGCGCTAGGGGTTGTCGGACCCCAAAGCTCCTGATCTGACGTCGAGGCGCCCATAGGTTGTGCTCCCCTAGTCCTGACACGGCGAGCTCGGCATGCGCCCTCCATACATTCGGACGCCTAGGCGGTGTCATTTCCCCGCTTGGCTCCTCATAGTACGGGTGCTCGTACTGGCTGGATTCTGAATCGTCTATCACCCTATCTCGTTTTCTCATTGAGGGGCTATAGTCCCTCGTATCGCCACTCCTTCCTCCTTCTAACTCCCTTCGAAGTATGGCTATTGCCTTGTCTTGATTAGCTATGATCCTGAATAGCTCACTCTTTAAAAATGAATCACTTTCGATGGATGGGAGCTCGTGGCTACCTTCTTCCTCTACCTCCATGCTCACCACGAGGCTCGACCGCTGCTCACTCTCCTCTTGACTGGAGCCCTCAGTCCTTGAACCGTCTGCGCCTCTATTTCCCTCATTCAAGTCTTCCATGCGCCTTGACCACTTATCGGACCCCTATGTGGCGCGCCAATTGTTTGAGCCACAATACTTCGACTTTGCCAAATGAAACGTAGGTAAACTCTTCTCCCCTTAGTAAGCGCCCAGACCTTGCAAGACAAGCGCCTATAGGGTTTGGTCTACCCGTTAGCACTCCGACGATCAAGTTAGCCGCAATTCTAGAGAGATAAGTGCAATGGGCGACTTTAGTGGGAGAAACCAACCTGCTTAAATGCCACCTACCGAGTGCTATTTATACTAGTCGAGCTTCCGACCAAGTCCCGACCAATTCCTTCCGAGCATCCTTATGTCAGCCGGACATTAAATGCCTGGTATGATCCAACGTCCAAGCGCCTACACGTGGCGCATTCTCTAGTCCTCGCGTCGGGGCACTTGGGGTGGCCATTTGTCTACGTGGTGCTTTCCCGACTTCCCTCGCCATACTCCTTTGTCCACAAGCCTACCTTGTCGTAATGCGCCCCCTCGTCGTTGGTATCAAACCAGGCCATGCCATTTTGGACCATTAATGGGCTTCATGCCCATTGGAAGAACTCCTTCAGTGGGCTTATCCATATTTCCCCAACAGGTAGTCAGAGGGTTAGGCGAACATCTATCTTGGATTATTTTAGAATTTTACGTCTGGGCCTTGATAAATCCATAAAGCACTTTTAGGCCTCAAGTGGTCAAAATCTAGATCCTCACCCGAGTATGTACAACTTATTGTCTAGAATTGAAGTAGGAGGAAATTTACAATGTTCTGTAGTATCAGTATTTTCAATACAATTTTTTATGGTAAACTTTGAATTTTTTATGGTAAATTTGAAATTTTTATATTACTTAACTATACAAATTTAGTTGTATTTATATGATTTGTACAAATTTGTTTATGATAACTTGTACTTTTAACGTTATGGTATTGGTTATACAGTTAAAAAATTATGTAGTACCTCTACAAAATGAGATCAATTTTCAATATATTTTGAGAATCTTTTTTTTACCAACTACATACCATATGGTAACTTTTTCATTTTTAAGTCGTTTTTTAAAACGTTTGCTCAGAATGAACGAGTTCATCATGATCTATTGGATCTATAAATTTCTGGGTGAAAAAATACTAGATAAAAAATTACCATACTTTACCACTATGGTATGTGGGTGGTAACTTGTGGTAACTTGTAGTAAACAATGATGAAAGTCGTAAATGACAGTTAGCATACTCCTACTATTATGTATTCTACCTTCTTACCATATTGGTATATTCATATCATCATGGTACGCTTTCTTACCATATGGTATTAAATAGGAGCATACCATATGGTAATGACTGGTAAAAAATTATTCAATTTTTTTGTATTAAAAATATATCAAAGTGGATATCATTTTAAAGAGCACATTTAATCTGATTTATCTGCAAAAAAATTTAAATTTCGACTTAAGACGAGAGAGAAATCATCCGTTAAAGATTAAAGGGAAATAAATAAAATAACTTTCGAGGAAAGAGAATACTGATGTCATCCTGTTGTGAACAGATTACTCATGGTTACTGACCATAGAGTTATTGACCTGATCCGTTTTCTAATTTGTCCCCAAATCATGCTAAAACCTGAAATTCAAGCGCACAACTCTACTCAGTCTAATATGGACCAAACATTGGTATAATTATGATAAGCTTCACACCTAAACGCCTAAGAATTAGGGTATGAAATAAGTCGTCTAATATAAGTGTAATTAAATTTACCAAATATTCTGACAGATAATGCATTGTGATAAATGTTATATATGGAAAGAGTAAAAAAGAAAGTTGTACACAGGGTCTTAATTTGGCCAATTGTATCAAAACAAGACAATTGGATCAAATTGACCCTGTTTAATGGTATACAACTTGGATGAAACAATTTTGCATGTGAAATTACGATTTGACTCCTTTTTAGACGATTACAATTGTTTGGGTGGGATATACAATTAAAATTGACTTATTTTAAATGATTCGTTTTGCCAATTGATCCATCCAAACTCGAAACTACCTAAAGCAATTTCGATGCAAATTGTGTAAGACATGATTATTTTCATGATGATCAGCATTCCCAGGGCAGCCATGTTGAAACTTCTTTTCCCCACAAAACGTGTAGTGGAGACATACACCAACTTGATTGGAATTGAAACCTAATGATTCTAGTCCCTAAAGAAAGAGTCCATTCATCCAAAACCCAATCGAAAAGACTCAATGATCTGTGGGCTAGGGCGGGGGCATTAAAGTATCATCGGTGAAGAATGGTTATTACATGGTCAGATTTACGAGCGGGATAGACTACGAACGAGATCTAACGGGTGGTCCATGGATGATGGGGGATAACTACCTAACGGTTCACATGTGGGATAAACATTTCCGACCCTACAATCATGAGATTTCGTCACTTTGGTTTGGGCGAGACTACTAGACATCCCGATACACTTCTTCCACAGGGATGCAGTGATGAAAATTGGCAGCCAAATAGGCAAACTACTACGGGTGGATCAAGCAACTACTACAGGAGCTCGACTGGACTATGCTAGGGTATGTGTTCAGGTGGATTTGACCAAACCGTTGTTATCACGGTTCAAATTCCATGGGGTGACATACTACATACAGTATGAGGGACTCGAAAAAATTTGTCTTATCTGTGGCAAATATTTTGAGCGATCCAAATGCTACTACACGACAACACTATTCCTTAGGAAAACTCACAGCCCAAAGAGCCGGAGAAGACCTATGGGGAGTGGATGATTGCCAAGCGGAACCAAGAACAACCCCCAAAGAAAATGCTATGTTGGGCAAGGATCCCACGCAAACCCAGAATAGATCTGATAACGATGTAATTGCACATGTTTGTACCCCTAGTTCTTATCCATTTGCAGGGCATAGTCGTGTGTTTTGTCCTATTTTACGCCGGGTTGTGCTACTTTGTCATATTTCAGGTCCCAGACGTCGAAGGAAAGGCTAAGCACGAGTTTCGGGGCATTTGGAAGTCATTCGGTCGAGCTGGAGCCAAAGCACGGGCTCGCCTAAATCAAAGCACGGCCGTGTCCCTGGACCGTGTTTTTACTGCCGAGGCTTGATCCAAGATTGTCCTGCGCTGGCCCAAAACACGGGCGGGACTGACTCAAAACACGGCCGTGTCCAACTTTAGGCACGACCGTGTTTTCCCCCAAGGTGTGGCCGTGTTTTTAACACGTGGCAAGGGCAAGGGCGGGCAAAACCAAAGCACGGTCGTGCCCTCGACCTTGTTTTGCCCAGGGTTGGCCTTTTAGGCAGATTTGAGCCAAAGGAGAAGGGGGTTCCAAGTTTTAGAGAGACAGAGCAATTCCTAGAGAGAGAAAGTGACGATCCAGAGTTCCCAAGTGCCCTAGCTTGATCTTCATCACCATTGGAGCCCGGCTTGAGCTTGGAGATGATCCGATTGAGCACAAGAAGCAGATTATCATCCTTCACGGTATGGTTTCCGCATCTGAGCTAGATTTTTCATCTCTTTCTATGGAGTATACTTCTTATTCACCTAGGTATGAAGAACCCTAGATTTGTGTGTTAGGTCTGATTGGATGAACCCAAGTACAGATTCTATGATTTGTTTATGTTCAATTGAGGTTTGATTATTTGAATGGCATGAATCCTGATCAAATTCCTCTTGTTTCTGCTTTAACATAGAAAGAGAATATCTGCCTAGGATTGATAGAGCACCCTTAATTGAAGGTAGTGAATTGGGGACTTTAGTCGAGAAGCCAATTCACTATTCTGTACCGAATTTGCTTTGGTAGTGGAGGTTTTGTTCATTAGGGCCTCAATCTGTTTACTCCGGTGGAGGTTAGTCGCCCGCTGGAGACTCAGATTGAGAGGGTCTGGAGACCTTTAGTCGAGACTTCAGGTTGTTTAAGAACCTCCCGCAGTATAACTATCACAGAAACTGAACTTGGTAAATTAATCCAGCTTAACTACAGTCTAGGGGGAACCATATCCGGGTGACCTCTCTTGACTTGAAAACAACCGTTTAACTTGCTTTGTTTGTTTGTTAATTTGGACTTGCACTAAAGTTTCACCGCTAGATAATAAGAATTCACTGAGTAGTCATCACATCTAGGACCCGGGTTGACATTAAAACCCAAACCCGCTATACTACGCTTTAGGAAGTGGTTACACTTGGCAATTTTCTAGAGTGACGGTTAGAGCTAGTAAAGTTTTTGGCGCCGTTGCCGGGGACGGCTAGGTTGTTGAAGAAAAGTGATTTCTGTTACTTTAGCATTTTCATTTCCGCATTGACTGTTTGTTCTTTCCCACGTGTGCCTGCACGGGTTGTCTTGCTTGATTGTGTGCAGGTAGTGCATGACCCGTAGCCAGTCGGGAGGTTTACTGCCGTTGGATCCGGAGCTTGAACGCACATGCCGCTAACTTAGGAGACAACAGCGAGCTAGATTGGCTACGGAAGAGCGCATAGACGGCCACTTGAGCACCAATTCTGAGGAGGAGTACGACATGGAAGGCGAACACAACCAACACCAGGGGAATCCTCTCCAGGTTCCCCCGGTGAATCAGTTCTTGGGGAACAACCCCATACCCCAGGCAGATGGGGTTCATCATCATCCACCGCCGCCGGGTCCCACCTTGGCACTCCGCGGATTGGTGATATCCGCCCTGCCATCCTCTACCCGCCCATCCCAGCGAACAACTTCGAGATCAAGCCATGTTGGATTCAACTCATTACATCCTCTATCCAGTTTCATGGCTTGAAGGATGAGGAGGCAAGGGTGCATCTTTCCCATTTTCTGCAGCTGGCGAACGGTTTCAAGCTAAACGGTGTCCCTGATGACGCAATCCGCCTTCACCTCTTTCCCCATTCTCTGGCGGGGAATGCTTAAGAGGTGGTTGGAGACCCAGCCCCCATTGTCCATCACCTCGTGGGATGATCTGGCTGACAAATTCGTGCACCGGTAATATCCAACATCGAAGACCACAGAGATCCAGC